GTACACATACTCACTTTGTTTTTTTTTTTAATTCCACGCGGACGGAGTCGCGGGCGAAAGCTAGTGAGTCATAACTTAATCTGTACCAATATTATAAGGTGGAAATATTATTTTTGTATGTAACGAATACATTATAAAACTACGGTATAGAATTCTAAAATTCTTTCGCCATTAGAATTCCGCGCATACGAAGTAGAGCATAAAAGCGATATTGCTTAAACAGTTGGTTGGTTGGTTAAATATGGATTTCAAGCAAAAGAGGTACTCACGTAAATATTTATTTAAACACTAAATATTGTAATAGTGTCTATTTTTCTGACCCTATTGTATAGTTATGACGTTATTGGCGAAAGATAACTCACGTCTAAAACACTTTTGACTTTATTAAAAAGCCAGTGAGATATTTTAATATATAGATGGGCAGTGGGTCCATTAAATGGTAACCTTTACTCGGTTAATAGGTTGTTGATAAAATGTGTCGTATGTGATACAGCGACCTGCGTTCATTCGATTACAAAGCCGCCATGCTGCAATGGATATCAATTTTGGATTGATTGAAAACTCATCCACCTATTTCATCCATGTGACATAAACGAAATTATTTTACACTACCTTTGCCGGTGACTCCGTCCGCGTAGATTAAAAGAAAATAAAAGCAAGTACCCTATGTGTTCTTCCAGACTACGTTCTACATAGATGCCAAATTTCATCGAGATCCATTCAGCCGTTTGGGCTACAAACTCTAACAAACATCCATCCATCTAAACTTTCACATTTTTAATATTAGTAAGAAGTAAGATTAGCTGATGCTCGGGACTTCGACTACGTGAAATTAAGAAAATAATAAAATACATAGCCTATATTACTCAAAGATAAATTACCTAATGGCGAAAGAATTTAAAAAAACGGCTCAGTGGTTTTTGATTTATTTGAATTCATACAAAAATACAAATATTTTCATCTTAAAATAGCCTATGTTACTCAGCGATAACGTAGCTTTATAATGGTGAAAGAATTTTTGAAATCGGTTCATTAGTTTATGACTTATTTCAATATTTACCAAAATTTGAAAATACAAATCTATCTTATTTAATAAATTCGTATAGTATAGCTTTCACGTGGATTTACAAAAAATTAAGTAGCCTATGTCTTCTAGACATCCATTTGTCTAAACTTTTGCATATATTAAGTGAGTAAGTTTTTCTGTACCAAACCTTCCATCCATCTAGTCACCCCTTATTAGGTTAGACTCCGAGCCCTTCGGTGGGGACGTATAATGAGCTGGTGATGTTAAACCATAGGATTGTAATAAGTTTTATTAGGAATTGTATATTAAAATAATTTCACTCATTTCCAATTATCAAATTTATTGTCAATCATTTTATTTACAATAAATAAACATCGAGAGTAACTACAAATAGTGATAATATGTATATTTGAAGACCTCATATACGGTTATATTTTAAGAGCGTAAAAGTTACATTTTAACATAAATTAGATTAACAGGAAGTTACTATGACACTTAAAGCCGAATACTAAAATTATATTTAAACATGTAACAGCGTAAATAATAAGGTCACACAATTTTGACGCCTGTCAGATTGTAAGCGGCGCTTACGTGTTCCAGTATTCGGTCATTGAAGGTACTGATCGACGTTACACTATGTAACGTTGGGCGTAACATTCGCATCGGAAGTTCAACGATCGCTAGTTGCCCCGACTCATACTGATTGCATTAATGCTCGCCGTGTAACATGTTACGTTACACCGAATAATGTCAGTTAGGACTTTAAAATTGAATTTAGAAAATAACAATTGACTTTTCCGATTGTTTCATCGTTACTTAGTGATTCATTAGTGTTAGGTTGAATTAAGTTTCAAGAGTAAATTCAAGTTACGTAGTTCAGAAACGTACGTGAAGTTATCGAACCATAAACACTAACAAATGGGTAAAAACTATAAGTAAACTTATTTTGTGTAATGTTTATTAAATGTTACATACAAGGTTGCAGTTTTCGCTCTTAAAATATAAACAGTTTTATATAATTTTCAGACCTGGCAGATGTCTAAAGATTTTATTTATTTGTAGGTAAAATATATATGCCAGATCTGAAAGAAATCTAATACGATTTCAAGCTCTTTTTACTTACATATAAAATACAATTTAACTAACAATTACATATAAAATAATACAATAAGAAAGACTTTAAGACTATTTAAGATATGACTGGATTTTTTCTATTTTATAAATGTAATTTAGTAAAAATTACTAATCCTTCGTAATACTGGCTGATATATTAAAATACATAGTACGTATTCTTACTTTAAAGTATTACTAAAAATGAAATATTAAAAAAAAGATTGTTACAATGTACCGGACAGTAACTGCGTCTAGAAATTCCAAATTTGAATTACTCCCAACCGTTACCCCGCTCAGTCCCCACGTGAGAATAAAAGTTTCATCAGCCCCACCTTTAATCCCACTCTCACAACAAGGTGACAGATGGAATCGTTATAAAATAAGTTCCAACCAGACGACAAGACTCTCGTCGGAAAAGGTAGGACGTATGAAGCTTTTTATTCTCATCCGTCTCCACGTAAGGACAGAGCGGGGTTACGAATAATCCCCAAATTTGGACAAAAATTATATTTTAATTACATTTTTTTAAATGTACTATAGCGCGACCATTGGCTTTATTCCACTTGACAGGCTATAAATTGTGGTATTTTGTGCCTATTATATCCGACATGTTGGCGCTGACGGTTACGGTTGGTGGTGGAATCTCGTACTAACAATACAGGCGAAGCAAGAACTGTCATTTCTACGCAGTATATAGAGATCTTTGGACGCGACTGACAATTTTCACCCGTCCATTGCTGCCTTGATATCCAAATTGTTAAATAGCTATAAATATTAAATAGTTTATTTATGTTACTGTTTTATTTATACAACAGTGGTAGAGCCCGCTTTAACATCATCACGAATGGACCGGCTCGCCCGGTGCCATACCACGACCACACAGAAGAGAGGCGTGAAGTGAGAGCAATTTCGCGTTTCGTCTGATGAGTGCGGTGCCGGAGGCCTAATTTTAATCCCTTTCCCTTTCCACCCTTTTCTTAAGAGGAAAGGATGGGAATCAGAATTGTGTATTTGACGGTGTAGGAGACGCTTAGGAAGGGGTATGTGCTTTTTATGTGCGTCTCCTCCGTCAATTAAGGGCAGGCAACGCATCTGCAATTGTGGATGTTTATGGGCAGCGGTCGCTTTCCATTTCGGTGGATTCAGGTGGCCGCTTGCTCGTTTGCCACCTTATATTATAAAAAAAACGCATACCTAAAGACTTACTTTATCCGATATTAAAAAAATGTACTTTAAAATCTATTAAAGTATAATAATAAAACATTTAGGTTTACATCTAATTAAAAGGCACTGAGTCAAGTCGTACGAAAAGTTACAAATTATACGAAGAAAACTTGAAATTGTTAAATTACTTTGACAATTACTATATGTAATTAAAAGTATTTATTGAATATCATCAGAATTGCTAGTATTATTTACAATATAAAGATGAACGATTTGTATTTTTGTATGTATTGAAACTCAAAAACAACTAGAAAGATTTTAAAAATTCTTTCACCGTTAGAAAGGTGATTTATGTGAGTTCAATGTGAGTAACATATATTATATTATTTTAACTTACAGCGAACGAAGTCACGAGCAATAACTAATCTTAAATAATTATTACCAGTAATTAAGAGCGGAAATTTAAAATAACCAACAAAGCAAAGTAACACAAAATTTATTTAAACTAGCAATATTGATGAATTCAAGTATACAAAATATAAAGGATATAAATTAAATATATAATTTCTAAATATCACATAACATTTATATGACATTTTACACTAACATATCAAATCCTTATGTGCAATCGCATATGTAAATATTTATGTACAACACAACTTAGAATATAAATAACTTAAATATACTAAGAATATAATATATACAAATATAATCAACGTCAACACTAAATAATACACTTTCAAACTTTTTTTTCTGGTTTTAAATTAAAACAAACTCTAGCTTGAAAGCTACCCCGAAGATTTATTCCGACAGAAACAACAATAGTGGTAGAGCCCGCTTTAACGTCATCACGAATGGGCCGGCTCGCCCGGTGTAATACCACGACCACACAGAAAACAGGCGTGAAGTGGAAGCAATTCCGCGTTTCGTCTGATGAGTGTGGTGCCAGAGGCTTAATTTTAATCCCTTTCCCTTTCCACCCTTTTCTTAGAAGGAAAGGATGGGAAAGAAAAGTGGATTTGACGGTGGCGGAGACGCATAGGAAGGGGAAATATACTCTTAATGTGCGTCTCCTCCTCCGTCAATTAATGGTAGGCAACACATCTGCAATTGCGGATGTTTATGGGCAGCGGTCGCTTGCCATTTCGGTGGATTCAAGTGGCCGCTTGCTCGTTTGCCTCCTTATTAAAAAAAAAAAAAACGGTACTAACTAATTTTGACGTTATATTTATATGAAGTTACATATCAAATTTTATACGTAATTTATTTAATAAATAGTTTTTATATTATTTGGAGATTTTAATACAAATTCCATCAAAGAATTAAAATTGTTAACGGCTAAGAAAAACGCCTAATTTGGTTGAATTTTTAAATGGAAGGATTTTTATGGACCCTGGTAATACCCAAATATCAAAAACAATACAGATTTTATACAAAACTTATCTGGGGACAGTAACATTTTGTTTATTTCTGAATAAAAAAAAAACACACATATTTGATTTCCAATTTAATTTCCATAATGTACATATTTTTCAATCTTGTATAAGTTTTTAATTCGAATAAGTCAATTTATTAAATTACATGTAATTTTCTCATTTTATTGATAATTTTACATTATAAATGGTCCAGTAAATATTTATAATAATTACATTAGTCATACAATAATACAAAATACTCTAAATTAATATTGCTGATACGTACTTTCGATATATTAATGAAATTACTATATACTTAATACCTAAAGAATACGTATTTTAAATCTCAAACTTGGCACATAACCTAAAATAAAATACAAAGATTGCATCTTTGGCGCTGTAACTTTGACAAGCGCCACAATAACTCCGTTAAGTACGATTGAATATTATTTAAAATTTAGCGAAATGTGTCAAAAGTATTTTGAGTTTAACACTAGCGATATACCTTTGCTTATATGATGGGAATTTGAAAATGGATAAGTTCATAAATCGATATGTATTGAAAAGATACCGCCAATGTTATTCTCACAATCTTCAATCGCGTTGACTTCAATCGAGGCGCTTGTCGTTAACTCTAAGATCCAATTGGTCTCAATAAAATAACTCGCACACTATAACTAACTCGGCCGCGTTCACTTAGTCACTTATTACACGAACACCGGCCCTTCACTTTCCACTCACAGGACGTGCAAGTTCTCACAATTCTTGAATTTAGAATCCTCCTTACCGAAGATCCAAGTCAGCATTTGTCTTGCTTTCATACTAGCCCTGACAACTCCTCTAGATTTATACCAATGAGCTGGTGAAGACTCCCTTCCACCTTCAGCAGAATACTGCTGTTTCTTAAGCCTTATCTGGTTCAGAATACCAACTAGTAACTCATCTACATTATGATTTATACCAACAGACACTTCTATGAACTTTGCTTTGTACGTGCAAGCGAGACATTTGCCATCTGAAAGAAAAAAAATTGAATGCTTTACTCCATTTTAATTAGCTGTTAATGAAAGTCAGATGTTCTCCTTCAAAGGATTCCTTCATTAAGAAATATGCGCGTGCAATTTCATAGAAACCGCTAACAAGCTCGCCTGGGAAATCAATTTATTTCTTAAATAGGGGAAGAATGAGGGCAATAAATTCTGTCGTCGGCAAACTTTTTTAATCATTTCAATACAAATTCAGTCACTTTGAAGGAGTGAGTCAATTTAGAGAAATTTTATACAAAGTAATATTTTTAAAGTCTGCTTAATATAGATTCTTATAAAATACATACTACACACATCTAATCTAGGCCTAAATATCATTGTACGTATCGATTTTTCTGTATGTTATAACTTGAATAACTCATTGCGAATTGCCATAAATCAGTTAAAATCTCTTTTAAAAGATTGTAATTTTTATTTGCTCACCTTGTGTGGAGACAGCTCTACTCCTGGCCAGGTCTATCTTGTTGGCGACGAGGAGTGCCGGCCTGGAGCGCAGCATATCGCAGTCCAACATCCTCGCCAGCTCCTGTTCTGCCTTCTGGAAGGATGCCTTGTCCACCACAGAGTATATCACCACGAATGCATCAGGAGGCTCGAAACGATCTATTTCTTCCTGTGAAAATACAATCACTCTTTAATCGGTCTTTTCTGTTAATTTCATAGATTCTTTTCCGATGACGATAATTTCTTTTTTTCTTTTTGAACATTTTACCAATTCTTTCTATTTCGATATTTTTTTCAAATAGTGAGCGAAGCTTACTTTGTATTAAAATAAATAAATAAATAAAAATAAAATAATCTTTATTATTAAATCAAGTAAGTTACAAATCAATCATTTGTTGGTACTTCCTTTTAAGTAACCAATAGGCACTTGTGTTAGGAAGTCCCTCTCTTCTGTGTAACACATAATGTAAGATATTCTTGCACAATCTATGCTATGATAAGAAAATAAAACTAATTAATAGAATAGTGTCAATCATGTGATTGTGTGATAATTTTGTTCTTAGTAGTTGTTCGGTTTACCTTTGCACTAGTACAATTAACGAAGTATAATTCTGATTCTTCACCATTTAGTAGAATGGACACCTTTTGCTCGGAGCTGTCGACATCTGAAAGATACAGATATTTGTAAAATCTCTTACATTAAAATTTAAAGAGCTTTATTCCAATACATTTCTTAATAATAATTTTAGCAGTTTCTATATTCTCTTACCAAGTTTATTTCCTTTTACAATTTGACAGACTTTTAGTATAGTTCTCGTTCGTAAAAAGATGTTCGTTTTTATTACATTGTCTGCTGAGTTTGTAGAAAATAAACTGAAGAATTTCCCGTTAAACTGTCCGGGCCAACTCATGGTAGCGAAATAAAAGCTTCTAAGAACAAAGGAATATACAGAGAAAGTAGACAATTGTGTTTGCTTGCGATATTTACTTATTGTAACCGTCTCTTATGTCGCTTATAGAAAAAGAACATTTGTTGAAGTAAATGAAACTTCAGAGAAAATTATTTATGCCCAACTTTCAGTAGGTTTAAATTCAGTTTTTTGTAGATTAAAACGCCCCATTCTTTGTGATGGTAAATTTTATGTTTTGGATACTGCTTGTTTGCACACCTTTGACTAAACTATCGCACAACCGATTAGTCGCTCTTTGATTCCTATGAGCTTATATGGAG